AGTGATTATGTGACAGAGCCAGAAGCAACAGTATTCTTTTGTTCATTCATTTTCATTTAGCAAATCTGGATGAAATATCTGCTGAGGCGCCACAGGAAACTGCTACCTATCAGGTATACACATGCACGTGTGCATATAGACGAGTTAACATCCGAGGGCTATGGAGTCAGAGGAAGGAGCAGTGAGGGCATGTGTGTGTGTGTGTGTGTGTGTGTATGCGCACTCGCGTGCGTTGGGAGAAGTCCCAGAAAGCTTCCCAGAGGAGGTCTGGGGCCGGGTTTTTGTTTTTTTAAAAATAAATTTTATTGATTTTTTACAGAGAGGATGGGAGAGGGAGAGAGAGAAACATCGATGAAAAGAGAAATATCAATCAACTGCCTCCTGCACACCCCCCACCCCACCCCCGCACTGAGGATGTGCCCAAGTGACCAAGGTATATGCCCTTGACTGGAATTGAACCTGGGACCCTTCAGTCCACAGGCCAATGATCTACCCACTGAGCCAAACCAGCCAGGGCTGGGGCTGGGTTTGGAAGGTTGAGTGGGATTTCACCATTTATGGAAAGGCATTCTTGCAGAGGGAGGGGTGCATACCAAGTTGTGCTTTGTTGGGCTTGACAATGTTGACTACCTGGGGGTTAACTGAGAAGAGGCTGGGTAGGTAGCCTGGGATGAAATGGCTGAGTTTGGATGGTTTCCTTCAGGCCACAGGGAGCCACCGAAAGTGTCTGGACAGAAGAATGACACTTGTGGTTTAGCCCGGTGCTTCTCAAACATACTATATGAATCGCCCGGGCATCTTGTGGAAATGCAGATTCGGACTCCACAGGTCTGGGGCGGGGCCTGGCATTCTGCATTTCTAACAAGGGTGCTGCCTGGGCTGCTTGGTCCCTGGGTCCCACTCGAAGTAGGAAGATGTTAAGTGGCTGTGTTTAAAACCAGTGTGGGCTGACGAGGGGTGAGACTGGAGGCAGGAAAACATCAAAGCAGGTGCTGGGGAGCAGGAGCTGGTGGCTCCACGAGGCTGTTGCTTCTGCAGTGAGCTTTGGGACTCAGGCCCCATCATCCCTGGGTTATGGCGTTCTCCATGTGGGGTCAGAATCCAGCTTCGCTCAAGTCTCTGAAGATGGTGAGTTTCGGGCAACTGACATCCATGCTCTTGGGGGATCATCCTAATCTATTTTTAAAAAATATTTTTCTTATTGATTTTGGAGAGGAAGGGAGAGGGAGAGAGAGATAGAAACATCAACGATGAGAGAGAATCATTGATCAGCTGCCTCCTGCATGCCCCACACTGGGGATCGAGCCCACAACCTGGGCATGTGCCCTGACCAGGAATTGAACCATGACCTCCTGGTTCATAGGTCGAAGCTCAACCACTGAGCCATGGCGGCCAGGCCATCCTAATCTATTGCTGTTCACTCTAGCACAGGCTTGGAACGGTTTTGCTAGCAGAAAAAGACTCTCTTCCATGCTGGGGAAAATAATACGACCCTAGGGGCAGGACCCATAGACTGTGACCAGCTGTTTCAGTGGTTTCTGTTACTATTTGTGAAGTCTTCATTCTTGTCATCTGCTAGCAGAGGAGTGGTGGCAGTTGCCAGAGGTTTGAGGCAAAAAAAAAAATCATGGGAGAATTTGCATTTGAGAAAATTCCATTCATTGACTTAATTAATTCTGGGAACTCAGAAAAGACCACCATGATCCTTTAGCCGCGAAAATGCTTGGGATGGCCTTGGAAATGCCAGAATTCTGCAGGACCAGCTTTTGGGAAGTCCTGTACTGTGCAGTTTTGTACCCTGAGTATTTTGCCTGTATTTAAAGTTTTTGAAATATTAAATGGTGCTATAGCAACATAAGGTGAACTTAATACAGGGAATGAAAATAATTAAATCCTGAGGGGCGGTGATAAATCTTGAAGTCATCACCCTGCCACACTCATCCTTCCATGTCAATATTTCCTGTTGTTTTTTTTCCAGTCCTCATCATTATGCAGACTTATTATTATTATATTTTTTAATGCAGTGCAATTACATTCGATTCTGTTTTTTGCTTTTTCTGCTTGACATTGCAGCATAACTGTTTTTCCATGTTGTTATGCAGGCCTCATAACCAAGTTCATGGGCTGTATAATTCCCTGGTTAGATGTCTGATAGCTTATTTAAGCCTTGCTATTGGCCATTTAAGTCACATGGTGCTATTAAAAAGGGAATGAGCAACACTGTTAGTGGGAGTGTGAAACGGTACAACCCTTTTGGGAAAGCAATTTGGCAATATGTACCACAGGCCTGAAAAATGTTCATTGCCTTAGAGCTAGTCATTCCACTTCTGGGAATCTCTCATAAGGAAATAATCTAAAGTGCAGAGCCGGATTTATGCATCTAGATCGAAACTTGAGGTAGAAGAGAGACAAACTTGAAGCAACCTAAATGTTCACACATAGGGGAAGCATTATGTACATGATGACACAGCTGCTCAATGGAGTATTATGCACCCATAAAAAATGTTTATGAAGAGTTTATAAATGGAAAATGCTTGCATTATGATTGAAATAAGCAGGATATAAGATTTTATTTATACTATGATCTAGCTGTGTAAAAATAGTTTACTGAGTATGTATAGAAAAAGCAGGCGCTGGGGAGTGGGGAGCTGGAGGGGTATCTACCAAAATGTTAACGGTGGTAGAAATAGGAGTGATTTTGCTTTTCTTTCAACTTTTCATGTCTTAAAAGAAAGTCAGTTTTGTTCTGATAAAACAGTACCCGATGTCCATTGAAGAAAACTGGAAGCATTAAAGAAATATGTAATCTAGAAAGTTAAGCCATGTTCATTGCCCTCTTTGCATATATCTAAAACACATGTTTCCAAAATCAAGTTAGTGTGAGAATGTCAGGCCAAACTATTTTTGGAGCAGTTGTACATATTTCTCTTTGTCTTATAGAATTCTCTTGCTTTTTTAATTAAAAAAAAATACATGTATCCTAAGACAACATAAGTTCTACATAATGTAATTTTTGGGTGGTCAGCATCATAGTATCTGGATTTTTCTTTATAAGAAAGGAGGCTGAGATCAGCTACCAGGGAAAATTAGCACGGGTCCTGCCCATTATCAGACAGGCATCACTGTCGAGTTCTGAATTTCCTGGATGCCTGGATGTGGAGTCGAGTCAGTTTGTTGACCAGGTCCTTGATAGTCTAGATCATTTACATTGTTTCAAAATTATTCTTTATAAGAAAGCTAAAGTAGAAAACCTGTACATTTTGATATTTTCCAAATGTTCTGTCTGACCAAATATTTATAATAATTAGAACAATCTTTAAAACATACAGTACATGATGAGTTCTTCAGGAACGAATGGATTAAATAAATGATGCTAACTACGTTCAGGAGAATACTATAGTTGTTAATGATAAAATAGAGCTCCATGTTTATGGACGTTGAAAACATGTCTGCAACATGTTAGCCACATGATAAAAGTAAACTACAACATGCACACTATGATCCTGATTTGTGACTATCATGTTCAGTATGACACACACACACACACACACACACACACACACACTCTTAAATGATATTCTAGAAAGGAATTCACCAGAATATTAATAATAGTTATCTTTAAGGAATAAGAATGTGGGTGATTTTAACTTTCTTTTTCTTTGATTGAATTTTCTAAATTTGTTAACAGAACACTCACTATTTATGTAATTTAGAAAATAAATGTAAAAATTTGTCCAACTTCATTAAAGAAAAAAAGGAGAGAAGAAGCAAGACTGGCTTTTGTATGGGAGGTGAGAAGCTGTTGAAAGAAATGTAACCAAACGTGTTTTCACTACATGATTTTCCACTCAGGCCCTCAGGGCTCAGATACATGCTCCTGTGAAAACCAAGCTGCTCACTGTTTCTCCCACCCATCCCTTTCTCACCTCACCTGTACTTCACTTCCTCCAGGGAGCCTTCTCAGATCTCCCCACCCCCACCAACATGTAAATAGTATCTTCTGCAGGATTTTTAGAGCCATAGATCTGATCCCTTAAGTGTCTTATCACTCTAATTGTTGCATGATGGGTATGAAAAGACACTAAGATATTATTGTTTAAGATAGGAGGTTATTATTATTAACACTAGAGAGGGTTTCTTCGAATAAGGTAATAGGAGCTTTACATTCCTGCTTCTCCCACATCACACAGAGCTTGGTAAGGAGTAGGTGCACAATAGAACTTTACTGAAGGGCTGAAAGATCGGCACAGGGTCCTTACTTCCCTGGGAGAGAGGGTTGCAGAGAGACGAGCTTCACAAATAAACATGCACTAGCAACATAAGGGAGACATAGAAGAGCCTTCCTGAATGACCCAGTGTGTGCCAGGGATTGCAATGGGCATTTAATTTCTCCCAATCCTTTCAATAATCCGCAAAATAGGTATTAGCCCTAATTTACAGATGAGGGAACTGAGGCTGAAGTTTGCACAGCCAGTGAGCGGGGCAGACAGGGTTTAACCCATGTCTGCCTGACTGCACAACCCCTGACCTTTCCATGAGGCAGGAGAGGCGCCAGAGGAGTGACTCAGGGAATAGGGTCAAAGGTCTCCCTCTTCCGAGGCAAGTGCCTTTCATGCCAGTAGATAATACAGTTGCCAATTTCATCTATGATTGTCTGCGTATCTTCTGTGCTGGATGCCATGTGCCAGTACACAGGTAAAGGGTGTGGCTATTTTTTTTTTTTTATATTAACAGGATGTTTGGAACCTGTCTGTCCAATTAAGAGTTTAATTTCGCCTGGCCGGCGTGGCTCAGTGGCTGAGCATTGACCTATGAACCAGGAGGTCACACTTAGATTTCTGGTCAACCCGGACTTGATTCTCCAATGTGGGGCATGCAGGAGGCAGTTGGTCAATGATTCTCTCTCATCACTGATGTTTCTCTCTCTCCCTCTCCCTTCCTTTCTGAAATCAATAAAAATAAACTTTAAAAAAGTTTAATTTCTCATTTATATTCCTCAGTCCACATGCGGATGCCTGTGCCTGACCAACATAATCCCTCCTCTGAACAATATGAGACAAGTCAGGATGCTTTCCTTCTAATGGGCTTTGAGAAATGATCTGCTCTTCGATCTCTTGTCTTTCCCGAGCATATCTGCTGAACTTCCCCAGGTTATATGTGGTGAGTGGCCATTCAAAAGTAAGTGAGGCAAGCCAGAGGGGATGGTGCATGAAAAAAACAATGTATCAAAAGAGCAGAACTCATTACTCTTCTTTTTTTAATGTTATTTTATTGTTTAAAGTATTACAAATAGTAGTACATATGTCTCCTTTTTTTCCCCATTGACCTTCCCCTGGCGTCCCCTACCACCCCCTCCCCCGCCCCCGCCCCAGTGTCTTGCGTCCATTGGTTATGCTTACATGCATGCATACAAGTCTTTCGGTTGATCTCTTCTTAACAACATTTATAGCCCTGGTCCATGTGGCTCAGGTGGTTGGTCCTGTGCACTGAAAGGTGACCAGTTCTATTCCCAGTCAGGGCACCAAAACAAAAACAACATTTACAATCAACTTTAAAGTATTTTTAAAGTTATGATTGAAATATAATTAATATGTGACATTTTATTAGTTTAAGGTGTACAGCACAATGATTTGATATATGTATATATTGTGAAATGACCCCCACAATACGTTCAGTTAACATCCATCACCACACATAGTTACAATTTTGTTTTCTTGTGATGAGAACTTTTAAGGTTTACCCTCTAAGCAACTTTCAAATGTGCAATGCAGTGTTGTTTAACTTTAGCCATCTTGTTGTACATTACATCTCCTATCTGGACGTTTGTACCTTTTGACTACCTTCATCCAGTTTCCCCTCTGCAACCATCAGTCTCTTCCCTGTTTCCATGAGGTCAGTGTTTTAGAGTCCACATATAAGTGAGATCATATGGTATTTGTCTTTCTCTGACTTATTTCATTAGCATCATGCCTTCAAAGTCTCTCAATGTTGTTGCAAATGGCAAGATTTCCTTCTGTTTTATGGCTGTAATATTCCATGTGCCTGTGTGTGTACACATGCCATATTTTCTTTATCCAGTTATCTGCCCATGGACGCTCAAGGTGCTTCATGTTGTGGCTGTTGTCAAGCAGGCTGCAGGTATCAAGGGGTGCAGGTATCTTTTTGAGGTAGTGATTCTGTTTCCTTCAGGTAAACACCCAGAAATGGAATTGCCGGATGCAGTCTTTTTAATTTATTTTAATAAATAAGTTTTATCGATTTTTAAAGAGAGAGGAAGGGAGAGGGAGAGAGAGAGAGAAACAGCAATGATGAGAGGGAATCATTGATAGGCTGCCCCCTGTACGCCCCCTACTGGGGATCGAGCCTGAAACTTGGGCATGTGCCCTGACCGGGAATGAAACCAGTGACCTGACCTCTTGGTTCCTGGTTTGATGATCATACCAGCTGGGCATCGGTTTTCATCATTTGCTACAGTATGTTCTATAAAGTCACTGTGAAAACGGAGTTAGTATTGTTTCCAAGGTAAATACGGGGTTAGGTGTCCGGGAGCCTCTCTTCACAACGTTTTCATCAACTGATAAACACATAACTTTGTTGTATGCGTGTTTCTGTTTAGAGACACCTTATTTAATGCATATTGTGGATTCATTAACATTGAACTCCCAGCCCATGGCGCTATCACTCAGGCCTGAAGGAAGCTTACCTAACACGTTTTCTCCGTGAGGCATATCACTGCCTACTTGTGCTCAGGAATAATCACACTTCTGCCCTGCGCTTGGGGGCCATTTCAAGCAGTGAAATCAGCAGCGAACAGCACAAAAGTGTGAAAAACATGGCACGAAATAGACTGGGAAAAGGATGCTGGTGTACAGTATGAGAGATGAAGAAGAAGGCTGAGCGTGGCCCGCCCAGCCTTGGCTGGGAACTTGTGTAAATAGTTTGCTCAAACTGCCCTAAAGCACCACAGACGGGGGCGTAAACAACAGAAATGAATTTTCTCCCAGTTCTGGAGGCTGGAAGTCTGAGATCCAGGTGTCAGCAGGGTTGGTTTCTCCTGAGGCCCCTCTCCTTGGTTTGTGGACGCTCACCTTCTCCCTGTGTCCTCAGGTGGTCTTTCCTCCTGTCTCTCTGTGTCCTAATCTCCTCTTCCTGTAAGCACACCTGTTAGCTAAGGGCCCACCCTAGTGGCCTTATTTTAACTTAATCACCCCTTTAAAGGCCCAATCTCCAGAGTCACATTCTGGGGTCCTGGGGTTGGACTTCAACATATGAATTTTTGAGTGGGCACAAATTTGCTCATGTCTGTGAATGCCCTAAAAAAACCCCGCTGTGAGTGTTGATTTTCGGGTTACAAATAAATTGTAGCTAGTTGGAAAATTCATAAATAAGAAATAATGAGGATTGACGGTAATTGCATCAACGACAACTGTGGAATCAGACATCTGGGGGCTGTTGAATTTTTTGATACTTGCAAGGCTGGTCTGAGGTAAACTTCCAACTCTAAGAAGATAACTTTCCTCCCCATTCCCTAGACTTGGACCCGGAGACACAGTCTGGGTCACGAGGAGGAGAGGGGCAGGAGCTTTCTCACTTACCCGCAGTAGCCTCCTCCCCTGCCCTCTTTCTGGGATTCTTCTCTTCAAGTGAAATCCTATTTAGTTTAAAACAAGGAAAGCAATCATGCTTGTAAAGTTTCTGGCCTCACCCAAAACATTATAAAGTGAGCTATAAATCCTGGGAACACAATGTCTGCTCACTCTGGAGCTTTCTAGAAAATCTAAGCCAGATAACCGGAGGGGCTGGGGCCAGGGCTGGGGCAAGGAAGAGAATTTCTCACTCTCCTCCGGTGCGTGGGTGGGCATGGCAGCAATGATTGGAGTTAAGGAGATTGAATTGCACGAAGTTCTCTGGCTGCCAGGGGTCAGCATCAGAACCAGGGACTTCAGACCCCCTCCTCCCCCAACTTGTCCTCCTTTCTCAACTTTTGAGTTGGAACGAACGGAATCAGTCCCAGATGCTGATAGTAATACACCTACTACATTTGAGATGATCAATACATCTTTCTAGGCCTTGAGGCATTTGTGAATTCTTTTACTTTAAAAAAATATACTTTTAAAAAAATTGATTTCAGAGAGAGAAAGGGAGAGGGGGAGAGAAATAGAAACATCAATGATAAGAGAGAATCATTGATCGGCTGCCTCCTGCATGCCCCGAAGTGGGGATTGAGCCTGCAACCTGGGCATGTGCCCTGATCAGGAACTGGTGACCTCCTGGTTCATGGGTCGATGCTCAACCATTGAGCCAACCCGGCCAGGCTCCTTTACTTTTCTATCATTTCTTGAATGTCTACTACAGGTGACTCTTGAACAATGTGGGGGTAAGGGGCACCCCCCCACCCCCATGCAGTTGAAAATCTACCTATAACTTTTTTTAAAGTATATTTTTATTTATTTCAGAGAGGAAGGGAGAGTTAGACACATCAATGATGAGAAGGAATCATTGATTGGCTGCCTCCTGCACGCCCCCTACTGGGGATCGAGCCCGCAACCTGGGCATGTGCCCTTGACCAGAATTGAACCAGGGACCCTTCCGTCAGCAGGCTGTTGCTCTATCCACTGAGCCAAACTGACTAGGGCCCACCTATAACTTTTGACTTCCCTACAACTTAACTACACTTGGCCCTTTGCATCCCTGAATCCGACCAACCAAGGGTCAAAAACAGTATTTTTCATCTTCGGTTGGGAATCTGCAGTTGGGAATGTGAAAATATTGTTTTCAATTCGCGGTTGGTTGAATCTGCCAATGCGAAACCCAGGATAGGAAGCGCTGACTGTATCTATAGAAAAAAAAATCTGAGTTGAAGTGGACCGTGCAGTTCAAGCTCGTGTTGTTCAAGTGTCAGCCGTATATGCAAGAAGGGATTGGGTCCCAAGGTGAGTGAGCCCGGGTCCCCCACGGTGGGGTTCTGACCACCGATAGAGCTGCCCAACACGGCGACAGTGTGAGCCTCACATGCCACTGCACGTGTCTAGCGGTCACAACAGAAGACGGAAACAGGTGAAATTAATTTGACATGTTTGTTTAACCCAATATATGCAAAGTACTGTCCTGTCCACATGTAGTCAGTATGAAAATTACTCACGAGACATTTCACATTCTTTTATTAGTTTTATTAGTACGTACTACATTTTGTAAGACTCCAATGTGGATTTTATGCTTCCAGCATTGCTCAATCTGTATTAGCCCCCTTGGTAGTGCTCCATAGCCATAGGTGGCTAGTGACTACCCTATTGATGGCACATGTCAATGGAAGATACTTCTAAATGAATTCATGCCATGAGGAGATGCTGGCCATAAAGGAAGCCTGTACTCTGTACTCTGGGAGCACTGGGGAGGGAGCAATTTACTTTGTCTGGGAATTGCTTCAGAAGGGTTCCCAGAGGAGGGGACTTTTGAGTTGAGACTTAAATGCACCCAGAAGGAAAAGACATTTTTGGCAAAGGCAGGAGTCTTTATTTGGGGGCTTGTAGAAGGGGGAGGCCTTATTCCCTGAGCCGGTTTGGTCTGGATGTTCTTCAGGCTGGTTTGAGTTTGCAGTGGGCCTGGAGTTCCAGGAGGGACCGTCAATTTTCAGTCCTGATGAGTTTGCTCAGGGCTGTGTGTTTATACCTGAGTCAGCCAATCCCTGCCTTCTGGTTGCTCATCTTTAGACCAATGCTGTAACTATGTTACATGATGGTGCTTAATACAATTTGATGACTGAATGAATGAGATTAATGAACTTAATGGATTAAATCAGGGAAGGTTTCTTGGAGGAGGTCCATCTTCTAGGAGGCTGCAGAGACTTACTGGGCTGTTACTGGGAAGATGATTTTTCCCTTGTCTCTCTTTTTTCCCATCTTTTCTCTTCCTCTTCTCTTTATACATTGCCCACAAAAAGACTTTAAGGGCCCTTGGGTGGAACCCTAGAACTGGCTCTTGGCATCTAGGTAGGTGGGGCCTTACCGAAGGGCTAAAGGACAGGATCTGGGGGGTGGTGGGGCAAGACACAAGGCAAAGCTGGTCACAGCTGGTGGCACGTAGTTCCACACCTGGTTCCCCGACTCTGATACTGGACAGATCGTTCACCTCTCGGCGTCTCAGTCTCAACATGTCCATCA